GCGTTTCGGCAGTGGGCGCAGTGGGGGGGAGGGGGGGTCTGGCTCTGGACCTCTGCTTCATCAACGGTTTGCAATAGTGCGTCCTCTGGGGGAGACGCAACCCGCTTGAAACAGGCGCCAAAAAACAGCCAAGATCTACTTCACGGGGGGGAGAGGGGGTGCAAGGGGTCCCGCGCCGATAGGCAAAACAAAAAAAACGAACATGATCACAAGTATGTTACGAGCGATGCGCTTCTTTCAGCACCTCAAGGGGGAGCCGACAGAGGGGTTATGACTTAGACGCCTCAGCCTCACCTCCCCCTCCTCCCCCTCTTCCTCATACACATATACACACTCAGACTCACTCACATTCAGACTCACACACATTCAGACTCATTCATACTCAGACTCGCTCACACTCAGATTCACACTCAGGCTCACTCATACTAAGACTCACTCACACTCGGACTCCTACTCAGGCTCAGACCCATCATGCCGATATTCGCTCCAGTTCAAACGTCACCAACAGTTAGTCTCACTCAGACTCGGACCCACTCACACTCAGGCACGCTCACACCTAGACCCAACCACACCCAGACATACTCACACTCAGACCCACTCAAGCTCAGGCTCACTCGCATTCCGATTCGCTCACAATCAGACTCACTCGCACTCAGACTTGCGACTCACCCGCACTTCGAATTGCAGACTGCGGGGATGTCTCGATCGAGCGAATCGCTCTCACACAGACGCTCATTGGCATGTGCCTACAGAAAGACGTGTCAAGAAACTTATATGCACATATGAGGATATCCACGTCGAGTGGTTCATACTGCTAGCGATCTGACATTTATGATAGCGAGATTCGACTGGCGAGGCGCAGCAACCTGGATAAGGAGCGGGCTGGGCACGCCGATAGATGACTGCGTGTGAACGGCGGCGAAGCTCGAGAAGGCTGTGGGGTATGATTCCCAGTCCTGCAGCCTCGCAACTACACAAGAAACGTCCTACCCTAATGCCCGTCAGTCTTGCTGACGAGGAAAAAACTGCCCCATCGTCGTTAAGATCCGAACGCCGTGGTGGCGACGTTGGCCACTGCCCTGACTGGAAGTACATCGTACTGCATTTGATAATCAAGGCCGATGTCCCATGGTACTACGCCGCCGCAAGGCGTCTGTCCCCCCCCTCCTCCCCTTCTCCCTCACCCCCCCCCGCTCCTGCGTGCTCTCCAGCTATCAAGATGGTCACCCTAGGAGGCAACTACTGGGAGGTGTCCGTCGGAAGGATTATGGAGGATTAAGCCCCATTGGGGGGCTGTTACGCTAGAGTGGGCCTCTGATCAAGCGGGATTAAGCCAGATTAAGCGGGATTAAGCGGGAGTGAGCGGGATTAGTTGAGTCGGACTTCGGACCAGGGCAACATCAGAATTTGACCTCCCAAGAGTTGCATCCGAAGTTACCAGTGACCGAACGTGCCTCGCGACGCTCATTCGCAGCCTGGCAGCCGAGCATGGGCTGGGCCGTGGCCCACCCGAGGAGCCCGCCCGGAGGCAGCGCAGCGACCGTGCAGCAGAGCGACAGCCCTGCCGCGCTCCGGCGCTGCTGCGCTGCTCTGCGAGAGCGCGATGGCGGGTGCGGACCACGGGCCGGGAGCTCCTCCTCCCGAGCTTGCCAAACCAGCCAGGGCGAGCAACGGCTCCCCACGGCACTCGGATCCGCCTAGCGCCGGCGAGGCGAGGCAGCAAACTCCGCACGGGCGGCCCAGGCTGCACACACCACCAGGCCCTCCTCCCCGAGAATCTAGACGAGCAGGGAAAACAAGTTGCACAAAACTTCCCCGGGTCTGCGCAGCTCTCCTGGGTCTGCGCTGCACTGTCTCTTCTCCTCCTCCTCCTCCTCCTCCTCCTCCTCCTCCTCCTCCTCCTCCTCTTCCCCCTCCTCCTCCTCCTCCTCCTCCTCCTCTTCCCCCTCCTCCTCCTCCTCCTCCTCCTCCTCCTCTTCCCCCTCCACTTCCTTCCCCCCTTCCAATTTATGATGGTGGTGGAAAACAGGCCCATCATCTGCCCTGGCTCTCCTTGCTCCTGTCCTCCTCCTCCTCCTCTTCCCCCTCCTCCTCCTCCTCCTCCTCCTCCTCTTCCCCCTCCTCCTCCTCCTCCTCCTCCTCCTCCTCTTCCCCCTCCACTTCCTTCCCCCCTTCCAATTTATGATGGTGGTGGAAAACAGGCCCATCATCTGCCCTGGCTCTCCTTGCTCCTGTGAGGAAGGGCGGGGAAAGAGGGACTGCACATGACGACACGACGATCAAAAACAGGCCTTACGCGCAATGTGGCATAACGACCTTGCGCGGCGGCCTGATGATGTGTCTGCAGATGTGTCGGCGATCTACTGACCCGGGTCAGGATCCTGCAAGCTAGCCCAGGTCAATGCAACCCTGGCTTTGCAGGATTCTGCAAGATCCAGCGCTCTGGCTGACCCCCGTTTGCATTGACCCCCATGTCACGGCTCCCGAATGTGCATTCAACATTAAGCCCCTGTGCCGAGGCAGAGGCCGCGGCAGGCCGGGCAAGCCTCGTGCATAATGCCCGACAACAAACCGCAGCACTCCCAGGGCCTCGACAGGACGCGCGCGTGCGCGCGTCCTGGGCGAGCAAGATCACCAGCCGAAGCTGAGAACCCCTGAAATCGATGATCCTGAGAACGTGCGTCAGCGACAACCGCAGCCCTTCGATGCGACGCGTGTCAGGAGGGCCAGCGCAGGTTGCGTAAGTACTGTCTTCGGAGCTGAGCGGGGTAAACACATGTTAGGCTAACACACGCCCTGAGGATCATCAGTAAGGAGGTCAACAACGAGAGATCGACAGAAAATGCGTCGCGGCCGCCGTCTGCGGCACACAGGCCTTCTGGAAAACACGAGGCGTGGTGAAGGTTCGACCTGCGCGACAGACCTCGCTGCGCGACAGGTCCACCACGGGAAGAGATCGTCCAGCGCGGCTCGATTGAAAATGGCGGGCCGTCCTCGGCATGACTTGCCGATCTTGCCGGAGGCACTCCCCAGACAGTCTGCGATACCCCTCGGCCCTAGAGACTGGAGGACTCCCAAATGGGGTCCGAGTAGATTGGGTCGAAGGATCGCGCCGCATCACCGATGCATCCACGATACATGGGCGATCCATATATATATATATATATATATATATATATATATATAGATGTATCGGCGACATCGGCGACGCATCGGCATCTTCGGCGTGGAGAAGATCGGGATCCGCGCCGAGCCGCATCGCCGATGCATCTGCGATGCGACGCGCGATCCGTCGACTCCATCTGCTCGGACCCCATGCGGGAGGCAAGGATAGCATGAGAAACACCGCACCACTGAAACTGTCGAAGGTCCCCAGCGCGCGGAGCGCGCCAAGGGCGGCGCCAGCGGCGCAGCCAGCGGCACCGTCGCAGATCCCAGAAAAATCCGCGCGGAGCTCTGAGAGCTCCTGCTGGTCCGCTTGCTCCTGAACTGGAGAGGTCTCCGGCCGAGGCCCGCATCGCGCAGCCGGCTTCGCAGCCTCGCGAGCTCCTGCTCTCCACCCCGCCTGCTTCGAGCAGGGGATCGGCTAGAGAATTCGTGCATCCCCAGAAGAAAAGGGACTTGTCTCACCGAACCTGCGGACGAGTACTTGGAATACCCAGCATGTGTACGGAACTCCGACGCATTCGTCGTAGATTCGATGGGGGACATGGATTCTGTGGTGCATAAATTATGTAGTCGAACCCCGAATTAACCGCATGAAGCTATTAAGGAACCCCCGGGATTCTCATTAGCACCGCACCGTAATGAAATAATTATGGGGGGCGGTTTTCGCCGAACGATATAGTTAGCACCGCGCATGTGAACGAACACAAAAAAATCCCGCGCCCCGGCTCGGGTGATATCCAAATTGGAATTGTAATAAGAATAAGGATAATAATGAAATACGACCAATAAGAAAAATGATAACAAATAGAAAGAATAGGATAGCAATACTAAGGATAAGAGTACGAGTGGTAATACGAATGGAAATAAGAGTAACATTGAGAGTCACATTACTACTAATAATAATAAGAATAACATCCATAATCCGAAGAGAATACGTATAATAATGATAATAGTAGTCATACTGAGGAAAGGAATAGTAATAATAATCATAATCATAATAAGAGCCAGAGTTTTTTCTCAGTATCTTCGTCATCATCCTTGTCTTATGCGAATTGTAGTACAACCCATGTTGAAAACATGTTTTTTCCTGGCCGTCGCGTGGGGTCGTGCATCCGAGGATATCGCCCCCGCCACGCACGGCGCGTTATCTTAGCACCGCACCCGCACAAAATACTTACGACAGCTTGTCAAAAAGACAAGACATACAATAAGACCAATCATCAGAATAATAATAAAACTGGGAATGGACTAAGAACACTACTAATAAGAATAATAATAACAATAAGAAGAACAATAATGATAAGAGTACGGTTAATACTAATACGAGAAAAATTAAGGGTGACAATAATAGTAAAAAACATTCAGAATCATGATGAAGATCCGGATAATAAACATAATACGAATCAAAAAGAATAGTACGGATAGTACTAACAAATATAATAATAAAAATGATAAGAGTAAGAATAAGAATAATAATACTGAGAGTAATACTACGGGTAAGAATAATAATATAAATAATAATGGGTATCCTAATCCGAATGCGAATACTCTTAATACTAAGAAAATAATCCGACTAAAAACGGAAATAATAAAGATAATAATAAGAATAAGAATAATAATCATAAGTAGAATAATAGTGAGAAGAAAAATACGAATAACCATGCTACGAATCAGACTAAGAAAAAAGAAGAAGAACAAGAGCCTGGTCACATGATCTTCATCACCCTTGTCCCACACGATGTATACTACCACCCCTGTGGAAACACCGGTTTTTCCCGGCCGTCGTGGCGCCCCCCGCCGCCGCGCGCGCGCTACACCCGCGGGCCCCCCTCCGCTGGCGGGCCCTCGCCCCCCGCGGCCGCGCCGCCCTCGGCCGGGCCGCCCTCGCCGCCCGCGGGCGCGCCGCCCGCGGGCGCGCCGCCCTCGGCCTCCGCCGGCGGGGCGCCCTCGCCGGGCTGCGCCGGGCCGCCGCCCTGCCGGGATCGGTCAGCACCGCATCCCAAGACCCCTGCCTGCTCCTCCTCCCTCCCTGCCCTCCCCTGCTCCTCCTCCTCCTCTCCTCCTCCTCTCTTCTCCTCCTCCTCCTCCTGCTTCCTGCTCCTCCTCCTCCTCCTCCTCCTCCTGCTCCTCCTGCTCCTCCTCCTCCTCCTCCGCCTCCTCCTCCTCCTGGGGGCTCTGGCAA